TGCCGGTTCTGTTCAGAGCGGTGTTTAATCAGGGACAGGAAGGAACCGCTGTCATATCATATGGAAACAGCTTGTCGTCAGATGCGCGCAGCACGTGATATTGCTGGTGTGAAAAATTTCAGCAAGATAAAAGCTTGTACGCACGTATCTGGCTCTCGTTATCACAAAGGCAGTCGGGTAACAACTACCGCAACTGCCTGGACTGTAATAATAAGAGACTGCCAGAAGCATTGGAGGGCTGACCGTGGCCGGCTATTTCAGAAGCTTGGCAATTTAAGGCCAAGGTCAGTCCTATTGAAGGCCGAAACGGATAACTTCCTGAATGCCCACGACGTATGTGGATCATTTTTAGACTTTTTCGGGTAATGCAGAAAAATAAGGCAAAAGAAACAAAAGCGAAATTTAGCCCTTCAACAAAAAAAAAGATATAGGTTCATACAGACATACGATCATCGAAAGGAACATAATTATAACCATCCACTTATTTTTTCTGTAGATAATGGGTGTCTCTTCAACGTTTTCTGTCAGAGCGTTAACTAACCTTTGATATTTGGAACACATTTTGGAACAAAAACATTACATTTTGGCAGATGACACATTAACACGCATTCTGCATGACATACTATACTATGCATAACTATCATCTTCTACTACTATTTTCTTATCAAATGAGACAAATACATTTTATCATCAACATAAACCGAACAAATTAAAAGCGGGCAACAAAATACGTGTGGCACATGCGTAAGCCATCATTCTTGTAATGTCGTCCTATCTTTGCAACAAAAAGGCAACTGAATAATGTTTTCATTAACAATTGATCTTATTAGGCGCGCTCGCACTTACCTAAATATCTTACGACCTCCAGTGATTGATCTCTGCGAACCCGAGCTCCCGAATCTGCATTAAGCTATTTTGTGCTAATTTAAGGTATAGCACACGAAATGATATAGGTTGGAGTGCTTCAGACATGTGAAATGGTCCAGGAGCAAAACTATGCACAGGCACATTTCGTTGCGGACTAAAAGTCAGGTAATTGAAGTAATGCGCAACTGAGACGTAAGTAAGACGTTAAACCTGAAACGTTTATTTTATTAAGGCATGCAATCACTGCTGAAAAAAAGCTATACTATATAGATGGCTTCACTTGTGCGCATACATATACATACAATGTGTACAATATGTGCATATGTTATGATTTTGTGCATTTTCTCAGACTTTTTTTAGTTAAATTTGCACAGAATCGTGCTGTTCGCCAGATACTTTTTTTGTGGTTCCGAGCTTCGGATACTGTTAAAACTAATTAACTATTCTATTTCTATACATAAGAAATCATTAGTTGTGTTCAAATTAGCCATCTTTAGAAATTATAAAAATTTACAAATCTAATCGTTGGGTAGTGTAAGTAAAATACGATTAGTTTGAATAAAAAAAAGTTTTGGTACTTCTATTATCAGCTGATCATAATGGCTAAATTTTGATATGCTAAGTTATATGTAATTTAAGGTTACCCAAAATACGTCGAAATTATGTTAGATAGGCAGATCATCAACTTTATTCGAATGACCAAGGTTTTCTAACTTTCAAATTTCAAAACTAAAAATCGTCAGTACGAAAATGTGCGTCGGTTCGCTTCGTTGCCCTAAGTTACCTTAAACTAACTCAAGTGAGGAGACATTATACATTTAAGTAATTTTTTTTCTATCATGGCAAAAAAGAGCTTAAATACCTGAAAAGTAATCTTTACAGTTAGTAATAATCAGTTCTTTACAAGCGAATGTAAAACAAAGTATAACATTGTCTGGAATATAGCAACGACATCTGCTCTATAGAAAACAAAGTAGCAGATGGATGATCGATGTTTGATTGAATGTACTGATTCAGAGAAATGAACGAGAATAGGCCACGCTAACTGCTGATCAGACCGCGAAAAAAGTTAGCCATAAGTCATTATAATTTAATTGTTACTAGCGGTCAGTAGAGCAAATGGTAATATTTCTTAGTTAGTTGTTTTGAGACATGTAGTAACTTAGGAGAGAAGTTTAAGCTATTACACAAAGTAGAAAATTTGTGGCAATGGTCAAAACTACTAGGTGAAGTTAAATGTTATACAAAATAAACATTTGTATAACATTTGCGGTATACAATTACAGTCTATTTTTTCTTGTGGTTGAGCCGATGTTCGCCTTTGTGCATACAAATGTGCATGTAGAGTTTATTTGAAAGCAGATGTATACGTATCATGCAACTCACTGCACGCTAATTACTAATTAGGCATTAGCTTAATTTACGTCAGCCTCCTTTTTCAACGAATCGAACAAACAGCGTGATCTTTCTATCTCTGAGTATGTTGCTATGGTGACAGTGAAGACGAAGTATGCAAGCTGGTTCAAATCTGAGTGTTGGCAAAGCTATCACTGCAGAAATGCAAGTACTCCTGAATGCAAAAGGAACCTTGGGTGATAGGTATGACGGTATAATGACGGCTATAATGCTTGAAGGTTTTACAAGTATCCGATCCGTTCTCTGAATGTCGGGATATTATCTTGCTCGCTCATAAAACGACCGAGAGTTGATAAAAGACTGAATATATTATTTTTTTGAGTACACTAAAAATAAAAATCTATCTCACCGTTTACTATTCACTAAACAAGACGGCTTCTCGGTCTCATCATTAAAAAATAAATAATTACTATATACAATTTAACTATCTAGGACGCACATTTTGAAGGACTCTTGACTTGAAGTATGGCGATCGTGAGGTTTCGATTCTAGGTGCTAACAGCTTAACCAGCCTACCATACCGTAAAGTGCTTAATTCGAAAATTGTTTCGAAATAAGCGTTCGAGTGCGATATCACCACTTTCACAAAATATTGGGGGATATCACACAAAATATTTTTCACAAAAAAAGAGGGGTTAATATTAACCCCTCTTTTACACCATATGATATCGCATAGAAGACTTTAGGAAGTAATGAATTATCAGTTATAGATAACATGGGCGAATTAGCGCTGGAGAGATGTACAGCTGACTGATACAATTAGCCTCAAGGCAAGGTATTGCTGTTAGCTTACTTATACGCCTTTCAAACCGTTTATCAAATGCCCCTCATCGGAATTATCGAATCACTATCGGTCCTTTCACTCTAACATACACTTTGTTAGCAGCGAATATTTCAACATTTTATTTGCCAAGTACAATTTTCTTTATTTTTATTCCGATTAGTGCGTCGCTTTCTCTCCACTAGCTTTAAGGTAAAAGACCATCTTCACGAACTCCGAGACACAAACAGCGAACTAACTATACTTAATAAATCAACTTTGGCATCATCTGTGTAGCCACCCCTATGTTAACCAACTTTAAAATTACCTGATCTTTCACCTATTCCTCTAATCCGTTTTCTTGATTTTTCCGCAGGGAAGGACCGATGGCTTGCTTTGGCACAAACGCCGCCGCTCCTGCTGCTGCTGTTGTGGATTGCAGTCGTGACGCGTTGCTTGCGCGTTCGATTCCATCTGCTGACAAAATGATATATGCACTTATATTTATTATAGGATAGACAAGTTGTGAAAAGGGAAACGACGTTCGACGGTGCTAGCAGTAGTAGGCAAAACAGCATGTTGGGGTGGCGTCTGAAAGGGTTCTTCTCACGGGTGAGGGAAGGGGGGTGTTGGTCGTTCGTTCCCCTTCCATCGGGAGCAAAAGGGGCGGGAGTATAATTCAGGGGTGTTGGGATCGGATGGGTGATTCGGAGGAGTTCCAGGGGCTAGGAAATAAAAGAGGGTTTCCTCGGGAGTAAACTGGCGGACGGATGGTTATATATTTTTTGGTTAATTCCACACTCTCACAGGCGGTAGCGGTCATGTGTAAGGTTAGGCGACCTGCGTATAAGGAAACGGGGTCCTCTTAGGGGTGGTAGTGGGTGTCGGGTACGCTACTATATGGGAAGCCTTATTTCCCCGAAACTCATCCTACTCTATGCCATACACTCGCTTTGTGCTATGCAGGCAAGCAGGAAGACTGGCAGGCACAGGATGTGTAGTGTGCACTGCACTGTGTACTGTAGGGCTGGCCCAACGACGTCGTCGTTACAGCAGCAGCGGCGGGCGCAGCAAGCACTATATCCTGCCGGTCTACGTAACATACATATCACAAGCGCGTGCGCTATATATATATATATATATATATATATATATATATATATATATATAAATGTGTGTGTGTATATATAAATGTGTATATATATACAGCACGCCACACATACATATATATATACAAGCATGGCTGCTCAGCGACGACCGACGTCTCTGCCAGTCGGTGGCTTAGACCGACATCCGACGGCTGGGCTGCACACTCACACACATACACACACACATGCATATATATATGTGTGTGTGTATGTATATATATATATATATATATATATATATATATATATATATATATATAGCGCGGCGTGTAGATTTTCTGGCTGGGTGTCGCGATCCCGACTTTGCTGCTGCCGCCTCGGGCGGCGGCTTTTCTGTACTACAGCCCGTCAGACACTGCCTGCTGCTGGCTGACTGGTAGTACAACAGCCAGCAGCGATGGTACAGACAGCAGCAGCGTGCGCCGCTGCACCGCGCCCTACCGCTGAAGCACCACTACCGTGTGTTGCTGCCGCTGCTGCTGCTAGCGTGCCATATATATATACATATACATATATATATATATATATATATATATATATATATACGTACATCACTGACATACGTACATGTATGTATGTATATATAGAAAAGCCCAATGGCCGACGAGGTAAACATGCCCGCCCCTCGTAGTCTCGCTCCCAGGCTCCGCCCAGAACAGGCGGCGCTGCACTCGCTGAGCGGCGCATGCGCCCGCCGCTGTGGCTCGCACTATCGGTGCTTGATAGCCTGCCTGCCTATGGTGGCTGGCTAGCTCTTGATCGTCGCCGTCTCCTTCTCAGGCAACCGAAAGAGCCTCTATCTATCTAGCGGCGGCGAGCGAGCGAGCGAGCGAGCAAGCAAGCAAGCAGGCAGGCAGGCAAGTAGCGTTACACTGCTTACCACTGGCACGGCACGGCGACGACGACGGCGCCTGCTACCACTACGGCTGCGAAGAAAAAGAACGAACTACTTTATTAGCACTAGATCCGTGTGTCTGATCTCCGCGACCTGGCCTCAACGCTGTGCTCAGGATCTACTGTAAAGAACGCACATGAGAAGGCACCGCAGCACAAGCAAATCAGGCGAGAGCGCAGGCATCTACTGTTGCTAACAGCACGAAACAGAACGAAGCATTGAGATACCGTACGACTGCTATCGTAGCTGTGACCATCCCAAGAAGCTGACGATAACAAAGACTGGCTGGCAGACCCAGTGCAGGCCAGCAAAGGCCAACGAGCAGTCAGCCAAAAACCCTGCGACCGCACAGATCACTGAGTACGAGAGCGAGTGGCAAATGCGTGTTAGAAAGCAACGAACTATCATTGTTTGATGCCAGCATACATTGCTAGCACGTAGAGAGGCCAGTTCGCACAAAATTTTCATGAATTCGTTTTAAGTGCACGATCACAAGATCCAATGAGTAAACGGTAATTTTGCTACCTTCCATGAATTCAGCTGGCCAAACACTGTCGTATCGTTCAATGCAGACGATGTTATGTCAATACGGTTGTTCTCAGCGGACGCTCGAAAGCAAAAATATCAAATTCTTAAAAGTGGTACAATAAAGGAAGACGTGGTCAACGCAAAAAAAACACGGATGTGATTGTCGTCGTTTCATTATTACCAGTATTATTATTATTATTATCATCATCATAATCATATCACACATCAGAACGAAAGGCATCAAGTAAAAACACGTGAATGTTTATGATGGGTGGACATCGTCGCGCTGAAAAGGTGACACGTTTTGAAAGTGAAGACGGTGAATTCGCGTGAAAATGAAATACTGACAATTTTTGTTTGCTGGTAGTATACTGCTGATCGGCACCTCATCGGATGGTAGTTCCGAACAGTCGCTGAAGGCAGGCGAACGCGGTTCATCTAAGCGATGACTAAAGGATCATCTATCAAACGTTATTATGTTAAAGTAGTTTATCTCGACGACGTGTTAAATCGTCTCTGAGTAGAATAGTTGTATCGGAGTCTGAGCTACGCTTAGCGAGCACATCGTTCGGCCCCCACGCGCCTCCGAGTAGCCGCTCCAAGTGTCATGGCTAGTGGCGGAAACATAGAAAGGGTGAAGAAGTTGCCAAACTCTCCAAGGAGATATGTATCGAGTTGAGTGTGTTCAACTTGGATATGATTATGGTTGTTATCATTAACAACAACGACGATATCGTTTAAAGTCGTTACCTTTGACTTGTTACCATAGCTCTATCTGGTAGGACACCGTGAAGAATAGAACTAAAGCATTATTCACCTCAGCAACCTTCTGCGACAACGCTTGATGACGACAGAATCCTCGTTATCTTTAGAGAAACGTTGAAGCTCAACTTTCGACGCCCGATTTTACCACGTACAATAATCGAAAAGTGAAAGCAGTGGTGGCGATCTTGCTCCATTGACGTCCAAGTTACCAAAACAAGGGACGAAGCAAAAGAAGTTGACAAAAGCGTTGTTGGTCTACCATACATAGTTAACAGCAGCGTTGGCCAACCAGTGGAGCCTTAACTTCAATCTTTTATTAATGATCGCGCTGAAAAAGGCCTTACGCAACAGTAGAGTTATGTTGGTAGCAGATTGACATAGCCAGCTGCTATAGGCTGTGCTATCAAATAAACAAATAGCGCTTGGTCACTCAATACCCAATGCAAGTATCGAAGGTGTTTAGGCGAATCCACGACGGCAGCGGCAGCGTTAACAACAACAACGGATTACACATGCGACCACCGTTACCCCACTCGCAACAGCAGTCGCAGTCGATGACCGTTTAAGTTTCGCTCTACTGAGTCCTAGCTAAAGAAACGTTTGACAGCTGAATCACGTCCGTATAGAGCCGAGGAATAATCAGATGAATAATGAAGTGTGTTTCTGTTAATCCCCTATTTGGATTTCGAACCGAGTAGCAAGGACGACTAGATCACTCAGCTTCAAAAATATCAACACGTTCTTGACAATATTACGTCAATCGACTGATAGGAAACGACAGGACCAGTTCAGTCTTGGCGCGTCGATCACGATCCATTGTCACTGCTTACACAGAAAAAGCTGCGTGTGTCTGTCCAGGTGAAGTCGACAAGTCGAACTTAGCATTGACTTAGGCTTGGTGAAAATTTACGGAAGCCGCCGCCTCTGGCGAGCAGGCAGAGCTAGACGACAGCTGTTCGCAATAAAGACGGCAACGACCGCGTGACAAACACGCGCCACAACGGCTGCGAAGCCGGCGACTCCGACTCCGAATCAGATTCAACCAACTCAGACCTTCCAGTGGCCGCAGCAGCAGCAGCAGTTCGGTCTGCCAGGGCCACGACAAACCCGACCGTTACGACGGGACTCCGCGAGCTTTTCTGTTCCGTTAGAGGGAGTCAGCTGTTTCTGTGCAAGCCAAACCTCTGACCCCACCAATCGGTCAGATGAAAGGAAGAATCATCACTGGTCGCTACGTGCCGCCGCGCCATGTCTCGTTGTTCTAGCAGAAACTGGGCTAGGGGTCTCCTGTAATAATAGCTCCTACACAGTCTTCTACATATAGTTCTTCACCGGTTGGTGACAGGTGACGAAAATCATCAGCAGAGTTACTTAAACAATAACAGACAAACAAAGAGCCAAACGAACACACGTTGTGGCCAAACAGAGCGCAGATACAAAGAAGCATTAGAAACGAAGAGAGCAGGCTGCAGAATATAGGGAAGCGTTAATGGTCTCGTAATCATCCGACTGGACGAAGAAGTGTTACCGGCACTTTGAGTTTTGCCATCGTGAACCTCTTGCGCACCGCACGTTGCGCCTAGGCTCAGCCCCAACCTATAGGGTTCAGGAGGAAAAACGGTTGTGTTCGTTGTTTCAGTGGTTCCGGCTCTTCCTTCAGCAACTCAGACGAATCTCGGCGTAAGGAAACACACGCTCCAAAGCTATCCTGCTACAAATTAAAGGAAATATGTCATCGAGTAAGCCAATAACAGTAACAAAACTCTCTTAAACGCTAGAGTAACAGTACCAAATAACAAGACAATAAACCGAAGCCAGCGTAAAACACAAGCGGATTCGCGGCAAAGTGTTCCTTAGCTTCCATTCGATGTTCGCTGATATCGCTCATCAATACAAGTAAACAAGTTATCTCGTCTTTGTTGCTTAGTAAGTTAGCCATTTACTCTGTTGTTCGTGGTGCGTACGGTGAAGCGTTGCTATATTTAGTGGCAAATTCAGGTAGTGGCGCTAGTTGTCATCCTAATAGCGATTTTCGTGCAGTGTGTGACTCGATTAGTTGATAATAGAAGTGGAGCTGGTGTTCATGGCCGTCGAAAAGTAGCAAAGAAAAAAGGCTGGGTTTTTCGAACGGAAAACGCCGTATCCGAAACGGCATCTACAGCCGTAGAGCGCAAATGCAGCCATCAGGCGCATTCTAAGCAATATATCCATTGTTCATCGATATAATTATGTCGTAATTGTTATTTGGTGTCGCTATTGTCGTCAACACGTTATCGTTGTTGTGCTGGGGTGGGGAGTTCGGTGTTTGATCCAGTCGTCTCAAGATATCAAAAAATAGTGATCGGGCATCGTCTCGAGAGCGATTACTCAATTCAGTAATTGATTGAAAGTGATTGTGTGCAAGTGATTGGGAAGAAAGACGAAGTGGCCAACAGAAAAAAACAAAGAAGAACGGAAGAGAAATTAAATTTTCCGGTCTTAGCAGCAGATGTATAAGGGTCAGTCTTCTAGTCGTACATGGTAATTGTAGTGTGTGCCTATATTGTGTCGATCGCGTTGGGCCTGGTTGAGGTTGTAAAAGAGATAATCGGTTGTCGTTTTGCGGTCTCGATTTGTATCGTTGTGTGTTGAGCCCGCAACGCAGAGTGATGCGCCATGAGTAGCTATCAATTTGTCAACATGTACCCAAGCCCCAACCCGCAGGTAGCGGGAGGTGCCCGAGGGGGCGCTGGAGGGGGCGGTGATGATGGTGGCGGCCCGGGAGCGGCTCAGGGCAGCGGCGGCAATGGAGGAACTCCGCAGCCGCCAGTAACGCCAGTTTCGCCGGCTGTCTCCGCTGAGGGGTACTACCAGTTCTACCAGGCGGCCGCCGGAATGGGCGCTGTCGGGGGAGTCGGGGGGGTCGGTGTGGGTGGCGCTACTGGAGGCAATGGACAACCAGCCACCAACCAGTTCCACTACCGCGGCAGTCATGGCGAGCGGACAGACGCCGACGAGGTGACCACGGATACCGAGGATAAAAAGTACATTAGTGACAAATTTTGCGACAAGTTCGGAGATAACAAGTTCCAGGTAGGTTGAACATAATGTGTGAGCGTGCGCTTATCTCTCTCTATATAGGCATGTATGTACGACGGTATGGTGGCACGGTATGATGTTATTACATTGGGTTACTACCCAATGTAATGGGCTGTGCTGCGAAACGACGCATATACAGCTCGTTAACGTTTTAATCGTTCAACTCGGTAATAATTCTTGTGGTTCTCAGGATAACGATTTTATTGAATTTGATTTACTAAATTTAAGCACTACCTAAAAATGGCATAGTCGACACCTACGGTAGGAAAGAATTGAGGGCCGCTTCATTTATTTACAGGGAGTGTTATTACAAATCGGTGTTTCGTTCGTTGCCCACAGGAGCATTTAAGCATAGATACTGAGTAGAGTTTTGTTCATTCATAAAGATTTAAGATTTGCAATGTAGGAGCAGGGATACTTTGGCAAGCGTAGTTATATCCTATCATTGTCGTATTTAACGTCAAGCGAAGTTTCAACTAGTACGAATATTACGTTACTACTTTTACCGAACAATGAACGCTTTAAACGGATTATCCGTCCTTGAAAACATGTTGTACGCACATGTTTTGAACTTGATCGCGAACGATAAATGTCCATAAATCACAGGTATGAACGTTTTACTGCAGCAGAAACGTTTTGCTGCTAACCAATAGGTTTGCGACAATGAACACCTTCACGATGTCTGTGGCGGGTAGTTTGATCGTTCACACATTTGCGTCTCAGTACATCATTGCCGATAATAACTAGTACCTAATGTCGCCTGGGCGGCCTTTTATGGTGTCCTGAATACCCTGTCTGTACAAGGTTAGCTGATCATGGTTTGGTATTCATTTTCGATACGTGTCGTTCGTGAGTGACCGGCATACAAGTCGATTACCGCTAGAAATCGATATTCGGACTAAAATTCTCGTTCATCTTGGTTATCAGTAATAGAAAAAAATGACCACTTTCATTGACTATCACTGTTTAACTTATGCACAGCCTGTTTAGGGTTGCGTTGTGAAAAAAACTACGGGATCATGAGTATTCCGTTGTTGCAACCTGAACGTTGTGTCGTTCGCTGGATGACGAACCGTAATTAGTTAGAACACGATGAGCAATTTGATTGATTTCTCCATATCCAAATTGACTGAAAATACCCCTATGTGTATATAGCTCTGTTATCGTTTTACTATACTATCTACACATAGTTTTGAAATGGCAAGAGCTATTAGAACAATGTAGCCGTTCGTCCATAAAGAATTCAATAGAATATGGAAAAACACTTGAATAGTTTCGCTAACATTTCTGTCAGATGGCCAAGATATCATTTAGTAGAAAATATGCTATATCACCAATATTGCTAGTGCAATTTTTGTTACAATGATAGATCTATCTAATACCAGCGTGTAAAGGCTCTTCGCTTGATTTTTTACTACGATCCGTTGACTATCCAGATACAGCATCTTCTATATTTATATGATACTCGTATATACGTTGTTGGCATATATATCATATATTAAAGATTAATAATGTATATGAATAAATTATTATAATTACTGGTGACACGTTCAGGTTTTTATGAGATTTATTAGCATGTCGTTGTTGTCGTTGGCGCTGCTGTCGGCCGGCCGGTGGCGCAGCGCTCGATGGGTTCCACAATGTTCAACGTGCCGTCATGATGCCACAGCTGAGGAACCGTGAAAATATTGTCGAGCAAAGGAAGCGGAGATAACGCGCTTGGACGCGCAGCATCGCATAGAGCAGCGCAACGGCACGACAGGGCGTCTGCGAAGATATTTTCTTTTGGTTCTACTTCGGCTGCAGGCAGATAATGAAAATGGCAAGGAATAGGATGAAGAGACGCTGGCTTCACCCGATTCGTTATGACTCCATACTATAACGACAATATTATGCTTTTAATAATATTCGTCGGCCGATGTTGTTCGAATATCTGTGGCGGAGATGATGAGTACAGTGGACCGCGTCCTTCTAGCGATGAATTGTCGAGCTCGAGCTTTTGCAAGTGGTCGTGATGCCGTTGTGATAGCACACTTCCTTATTAAACTTACAAACAGACGAGTTGGTCGAGAACCGTAGCGAAGATTCTGACAAATAATAGATAACCTATAGAATAAAATATTTGATACGATGCATACGGAACCTTAGAACATGGTATATTTCGTACTGATTTCCTTCGATATGATTTTCTGTCTGATTGATTGTTTGCTATGGCAGTATGCTATAGAATTGCCGTTAAAGATGAATTAAACATAAAGAAAAAAGGCTGCGTTCGAAATTATGCACAAAAATTGGGCTAGTACGCACATCCGAATCCATGAGAGCTAAACAGCGTCAGAAGATACTGTTTTACAGTTGGTAACGTCCCCCCCTCGGCTGTACATAAGTAAGTATATTTGGCACCGAATAATTTAGCTCGTTAGTTTCACGTCCGAAGAACGCGTAGCCAATCAACATTTACGCAGTACGCATACTTGCTATGTCGATTTCTGACGGCATAACGGAACCAGCGCAGCCAATGAATTTCGCCCATTTCACTCATGAGCATTTGCAGCTTCTACGTCACTCATATTCGAGGGTACAGTATTACCATATATAAGCCATATAGACAATATATCTCAGCCGTCACAATATGGACACAACAAACAAGTAACGTGTGATTGTGCCGCTGTTAAAACTTGTAGCTTAATTTAGCATCTCCTAGACCCATATCGTCCGCTTTCCCCATCTACTCTCCAAACTTATTCTCGTATAAATCGTATTGTGTAGATTAATCCGAACAAGTTTTCACATAGGTACGTTGAGCGGGATATTACGTACAATTTGTCAACACACAGACCAACATTCATTAACATAAATAACGGCAACAGAGCGGAGTAGGCCGTCGGTTCGTTTGTCTGCCGATGCTTGTTAGCTAGCTGTTAGTACAATGTCATACATTGTCTAGGTTCTTTGTTTGTATGCGGCATCTGTCTGCTTGGGGGTGATACAGCCGTTCGAACCCAGCTTGGCCCATCGCGATGGGGATTCAACACCTCCGTGCTCCGTCCCAACCTAACGCGGCGCGGGTCGTCAGTTGTGTGGGTGGCCCTCCTGCACGTCAGACTATGCGTGCGACTGTGTGTAAGAAGAGGCGCTATCGAAAAGGCCGATCTCAGCGCCACCTTTGTTTACCCTTTCCCTTTCCTTCGGTCACCGGGCCGGCACTTCCCGCCAAAAATCGACCAACGGAACCCCTCTGGCAACGACCGCGTAACATGGCATAGCGCGCTGCATTACTTCGACCACCTATTTGTTATCAGAAATAGACGAAGGCTTGAAGTGAGGCAATCGGCCTTGCCCCCGCCCGTCACGTTATTCTTTTCCGGCTCTTACTGATTCGTGCATCTGTTTTAAACAATACATAACGGCAGGACTGGGCGTACAATTCGACTCATTTCATGCAGTCATTACAAAGGTGTTAAAAGTATTAAAGGTTATTACCCTTTTTACTGACGGTTTTGGGTCTAACCGACGATTTCGTCTTTGTTAGTGCGTTATCGGTTTAAAGATAGTAGAATGTATTTGATCCTATATAGGTTTTTCCTAAAGCGTTCACTACAGGTCGACTTACATGGGATTAGACTACGTATCTTCATAAATAATCTTCATAAAAATAAAAAATCATTATTGCAAGCAATTCGTTGTAGGTTCCTTGTGAATATTAACAATATCGGCAAGAGTGACGAGCTAAGTTCAGTTGAGCGCTTCGAGTTCAGCACTTGAGGAAAATTGATCAGTCTATGGCGATAAAGGATCTTTTCGGGACAATACTCATCCTAATGGATCCTAATGAACTACGCCTGTCAAACGAATTTGGAGGCGGCCTACCGACTACTGTGCATCCTAGCAGGAAATATGAAGCGTAGCAGATTGCCCGGCGTAGTATTACGCCCTATCCGCGAAGGCGATGATGTCTTTTTTTTTTCGCAAGACCCCATCGACGACTTCAGTTATTTAGCTATAACAATCTGTCGTTTACCTGCACCAAAACGAATATGGCCAAGAGGGAAAGCCCGGTCGGACCCATCAGAGGTGAAAGGTTGACAGGAAATGGCATTCCATCTTCACTATATAAACCTCTAAGCTAAACTGAAGTTGCCTGCGAGTGAAACTAATAAGGAAAAATTGCAAGTAAATTAAAATGTATCGTATTTTTTAATAATATTAGCTATCATTATTGATTCGTATGATACTCCTCTCGCTCCCTATTGGCGTTGTATAGCATTCCATACAAAAAATTTGGCTCTATAAAAATATAAATAGTGATAACTACTTAGCACTTCTATTGTATGCAAGTATATGTAAAACACAAGATTAACGGTCATTCTAAATAACGATGTTTCAGCTGCTGCTGCTGCTGCTGCTTGTTTGTATCTAGCTTATCTGGCGGGAATCGTTCTGAAGCTTGGGCTATTCAAGGACTAGCATTGTTGACGCTAATATATATATTTTATGAATAATTAAATAGCTTTATGTTCTTTTTAAACGATATCGTGTCTGACTCACACTTGTGGCATCTTTCGCCTTGAAGGAAGACCTTTTTGGCGTGTTTTTACTTTCTCAAGTGAACATCCTTGTTTCCCAGGGTTCTGACTAACAGATTGGGATCCGTCAAAATGAAGGCCTACTGCAGGTATTAGATAAATGTAGTATTGCGTAAGTCTCGCCAAAAGCTGAACAATCGTATTGGTATCAATATTTTAGAGGCGTTGAAGCACTGGTTAATGCAAATGGTCCACGCTTGTCAGAAGCTGTCGCGAAACACCGATCAACGATTAGGCTGATGCTGGTACTACCGGCGAGCGCAGTCCCGATGCTTATGTGGCACATGAAAGCAATGAGACTATACAGTGACAGAAAGCTTCATCACAGGACGAGAGTTTTATGTCCTCACTCCTTTTCTAGGCTTCCTAAGGCGCGCAGCCAACGAGCTAATGATTCGTCTATTTGTT